AAGAGTTGTATCATCATACCTCAGGTCGGGTTAGGGCATATGGCCAACTTTCGCCACCCTTCGCCGTCTCCAGTGGAGTTCGGCAAGGCCGCCCTATATCCCCATTCCTTTTCAACTTTGTCATAGAGCATGTTCTACGGAATGCTTTGTCCGGTCTTGCAAACGGTGGTGTCGAACTCCTCCCAGGGAACGGTCCTCGAATTAGAATATGCCAATGACATCGCCTTGTTGGGTGACAATACACAGGCCGTTCAAAACGCTTTGAACTGCTTGTGAAACCTGGCCCCTCCGCGTTGAGGATGCTAATCGACTTTTCATATTCGACCACCGATGTCTCCGAAGCATTGTTCGTGTCTGGTGGGAACACCGGTTGAATAATGACGAGGTTCGTCGTCGTGTGTTGGATGCGGATAGTCGCTCTCTCACAGAAGTAATCGCTCTATGCCGCCTCCAATGACTTGGCCACGTCTTGCGTATGCCTGTCCATAGACTACCTTCCCGTGCTCTCTTCGCACGTGCTGAGTAAGACTGGAAGAAGCCGCGCGGTGGTCAGACCATGATATGAACTAGAGGCTTGAAGAAGCTGGCCTCAGCGTTGGCTTTGGTTGGTGCAGCCCGCCTTCCAGGTTGGGGCCCAAGGGATGAGGATTGTCGTTGGTTACAGACGCTGAGGGATATGGCCCAGAATAGAAGTCAACGGCGCGAATGCTGTACGAATTGCCTGTCGAAATCCCGAAGTCCCATCGTTTTTGCTTTGATCGTGCACCAGAGTTCGCCGTTTTGATTGAAATTTGGATCGCTTCCTTGATTGCCGACCAGTGTTCACTGAGTCCTCCGTCTGCTGGTTGAGTTGATAGTTCCGCTTCGAAGGCCGATTTGCAACTGTCGGTGAAAGTGTATTGTGGCCATCCGTTTTTGGCGGCTTTTCTGCGGTTGTTTATGAGACGTAGGGAGAATTTCGCTCGTAGCAGAGCATGGTCCGTGTCTACGAGTGTTGATCAGTAGGAGCGGCAGTCTTCAATGGATCCTCCAGCGGTGGCTGATGGCGATGTGGTCGATTTGAGTCCAGCGTTGTGAAGAAGTTGGCGGTCTCCATGTAAGGCGGTGCTGTTTTTTGTGCGAGAAGTTCGTGCTTGACAGAAGCAGTCCGTGATCAGCGNATCAGCGAAAAGTTGGTGTATGCGTTCTCCGTTGCCAGTCCAGCTAGCTGGGATTGCATGTGAACCATCAAGTAGCCTTTCTGATTCGTCCAAGGATCCCACTTAGCATTGAAGTCTCCAGCGATTACCACGACGTCCGTTGACCGAGCACTTTGGAGCAGTAGAGAGAGGTCCTTGTAGAATTCATCCTTTATTTCTGGTGAACTGCAGTCGGTCGGTGCATACGCGGATACGACGAATAAGCATCGACGCTTCGTTCTGTAGCTGTTGATCTGTACTGAACCATCCAGACGTACAGCGCAAAGTCGGTTACTAACCGTGATCAAGNTGATCAAGTCGAGAGTGGAACACTCGGCCTTGAAACAGTGCAATGCTGACACCAGCAACACCGAGCTTCGGTTGCCGAATCGCTTGACACGGAGAGTGAAGTGTAAGGATGAGGTTGGATCTTGAGAACGCAAGGTGATTGTAGTAGGGTTTTGTATGCTCGTTTCGGAGACACAGCATACATCTAAGTGGAAGGTTTCAAGGGTTCTAGCTAAGGCAGCTTGATCGATCCGGTAGAGTGTGCGGAAATCAAATAAGGCTAAGTGAAAAGGAGGTTTTGGTTTTAAAAATCTGATAGCCTCTGAGTGGTTGGCCTCAGTAGTTGAGCGCTGGGTTATATCCCATGGGTGGCGCGAACAGGATGCATCTCCTAAGGTTTGGGAGTGACAGGAGGAAGTAGACAGATAAGAGAGGTTTTCCAAATGGGTACCTAAGACACGGTATACTTCGCGGTAACCCACACTGACTATTGTAAGATTAAGTGGAAACTCGTGCAAGCACTCATCCTTGAAGAGAAAGCTAACTATTCACTGTTTGGCTTATAGTGTCGTGTGTCTAGATGTTTGGTGCAAAATATTAGTCCATCAGGCAGTTCGCCTGTCGCTCGTTGCCAAGTGGTGCTGGGAATAACTTACCACAAAATGGATTACCGATTGTGAAGCCTCACCACTTTCTTAATCTG